CACACGAGAGAGAGAGAGAGAGAGAGAGAGAGAGAGAGAGAGAGAGAGAGAGAGAGAGAGCCCTGTAGTGGGGCTGCACAAATGAAATACTTGTGGTTGAACACTGGAAGGAAATAAGTTGGCCCACACTCAGCCACAAACCCCCAGCTGGTCTGAAAATGATTTTCAATATGGTGGAAAACATCATCCCCTAGTTTTCAAGTGACTGTCAGTGGACTCTGTGACCTCCACTACCCTGAGAGGACTTGACCATGACCAACCTACTCCTGGTCAAGAAACCAAGAAGGAAGTGAAGGGAAAGGCTAGGAGTAAATTTTCACATATGGTTTTGATCCAACCGGGTTAATTTATGACCTTTGTATTCAAATCATTTATCTTATTCTTGCATCATGATAGAATCCTCAACATACATAATGTGGAAGTGTTTTATGTGAATAAATTTTATGGGACAGAATCTCAGAGGTCTTTGTTCCTGAAAATCTGGCAGTCATGATCTTAAGAATTCTAATCTCAGAAGCTAAGGTATGGCCCAAGCAGAGGTGCAGCAGAGCAGCAGCAGGGTCTGAAAGAGAGGAATCAGAATTCTAGAAGAACAAGACACCCCTAGGGGGTGGGTGGGAGACTCCTGAGGCATGGAGGGCTTTAGCCACAGTCACTGGCCTCAGAAAGTTGTGAACAATCACTAAGGCAGATTGTAACAAGTACTAAAAAGATCACTAGAATAAAGTTCTTTGGATTCACTACAAAATAGTGGATTCGTTACTCATATTTTGGAAGGAAGAAAATGGTGTGGTTTTATAAGACCCAGATCTAGTAAGACATCCCCAGATGGGAATTCAAAATAAGTAACATATTTTAGAGTATATGAAAGAAAGCCATCTAAAACTAGAGAAGCACCAGTTTCGGTAGTGGAGCCACGGCTTCAGAAACACAGCCTTAGATCTAATGCCATAATATATAAAGACCATTTATTTTTTAACTTTTTATATTTACTCATTTATTAGGGGCACCCATGGTCCGCTATGCCTGTGTAGAAGTCAGAAGACAATTTGGTGAATCCTTCTCTCCCTCCACCTCGTGGGTCCTGGGGATCCAACTCGGGTGGCCCAGGCTTTACAGAAAGTGCCTTTAGACCTGCTAAGCTATCTCACCTGCCTCTGATAGCCTTTTAGACATTTACCAGGAATGTATAGCCACAGAAATATACAGAATCACATTAATAGTCCAAAATTTAGAATCTAGAAATTAAAAGCTCAGAATGTGGGAAATATGGAGAACCAAAGAAACTGTGTTAAAAGGTTCTGTCACATAATTCAGTTAAAATAAAAGTTTGCTTTTCCATGAAACTATATGGTATGAAATCACAAAGATTAAGTTAGAAAAACTTTTAAATGTTTGTTTTTAATTGTTTCTTTTTTGGAAAAAAGAAATAGGAGGAAACCTGGACTCTTTGGGAGAAGGAAGCTGGGGAGTAGTGGGTCAGCGAGTAGAAAACTCTGCATCCACTGAGACATCTCCACTGATATGGCGGTTTCCACACACCCGGTAGGCTGAGTGAGGGAGGATCTGGGCTCTCTGCCTCTTCCGAAGACAGCACCTACCACTGCTCACTACAGAACGCAATAACAACCCGGGAAGGCCCGGCCACCCACGTTAGGCCTGAAACCTCCTCTGTGTTTCTCCATGCTTATGGGCACCTTCCACTCGGCTGTGTACACAGTCCCCCCAGAAAGCTACGTCCTGGCTTCAAAGTCGGAATCCTAGAGTAGACGAACATGTCTTAGGTCCCTACTAGGGAAAGGGACTGATCCAAAAAGTGCCCGGTGAGCAAACGCAGGCCAGTGGGGCTGCACCGCAGAGTCCCACTCTACCACTGAATCCTGCCTTAAGACAGAATCGGACGCCTGACAACAATCTGATCTCCCTTTTCCTTTCAGGAGAGACGAGCCCACTCGCAGCAGCATCTACTACACCACATGTCCGCCTCCCCCACAGTCCTCACTCCTTGGCAGCAAGCAGCGCCTTGCCAGCCCTGGGCCACGGGTACTGAAGGAAATGTAACCGCGAGAGGGCAGGAGCCTAGTCTCTCCACCATCTATGACCAGGCGGCACTCTCCAGAATACAGAGAGGGGTCTGGAGCCACCAAAAGTGAATGATGGGGTTGGGAGGCTTTCCCTAAGTATCTGAAGCGGGACCCCTTGAGATTCAAACCCTCGGGGCAGGAGAGGGACCTGGAACCCAAAAAGGGAAAGTGGCTACCTGTGGCACACAGCTGGGAAGCTGATTCCTAAAACAGACGCCAGCTGAGAACAGCGGAGTTGCTGCCTTATAAGTTGCCTTCCCTTAGTGGCCTGGGAATCATCGTCTGAAAGATAGAACTGGACTGGAGAGTGAGCGGGTCAGCCTTGACCTGGGTTTGGAAATCGTCCCGAAAGGCCTGGGATCCACTCTTTTAGAACTTCCTGTCCTCCACCCGACAATCGCCAAACACACCCCGCCCCCGACCAGTTCTTACCGTCTTGGGACCATCGGAAGTGGTAAAGCCTCCTTTTCACCTGGGTGTCCCCAGCCTTCTGCAGAGGAAGGAAGTGCTGAGTTCGAACATCTTGCTGTCCCGGACTCCCCCGGCCTCACTGTCCCAGGCTGGTGCACAGAGGAGGCCGGGCCGGCAACTCCCAGCGCCCTCCCTGGGCTCACATTCGCGGGGCTCCCGCAGAGCCGCAGCCTCCGCTGCCACCTGGGGAGGTGTGCCTGAGGCCGAGGCCGGGGGGCGGGCAGTTGGGGGGCGGGCGGGGAGCCGGCTACGCCCCGCGCTCCCTGGCGCCTTTAAGGTGGAGAAGCCGGTGGAGGGAGGAGCTGGCCCAGGTGTGTGGAAGGGAGCAGCTCGCCAGCGGTCTCCTAGGCTGGAGTCCCAGGCTAGGGAGGGGAGCATTGGCCCGCCGCCCCGTCTGGCCCGCGCGCAAGACTTCGACTCTCTGCACCTCGGCCTTAGGGGTTGCGGTATGGGCGGCCCAGGCCCCGCAGCTGCACTAACTGCCCTCGCCCACGGGGCCCGCAGCCTCCTCTAGGTGCACGACCTCCACAGTCATCCTCGGACCCGCAGGGACCCCAGACCAGCTGCTGCCACCCCAACCCCGGGGACACTTCTGGACCGCTTGATCGCCTGCCATCAGCGCGCTAAGGACCCTTTGGCGGGTGACTGGGGCCCAGTCCGGGTGCCAAGGCAGCCGTCGCCGGCTGACTTCGAGCTCCAGGACACGAGCGGAGCCGTCGGGGAGCGACAGACGCCAGAGCCTCGGCGCCCAGGCCACCGCGCTCTCCGTGCCAGCCGCGAGGCCTCCCGGAGCTCGGCCCGAGCAGCCAGCGCCCGAGCCCGCAGTGCTCACTCCCCGGACTGTCGACAACAGCGGGCGGCGCCGACGCCGGGGCGCGAGGCACCGCTGGCCATGACCGCCGAGAGCGGGCCGCCCCTGGGCCCGCCGCAGCCCGAGGCGCTGGCTGCAGTGAAAGAGGAGCGCGGCGACGCGGCGGTGGCCGGCCCCGGGGGCGCGGGTGAGGCGGCGGGACGCGGCTCAGGTGGGCGCAGGCGCAAGCGCCCCCTGCAGCGCGGGAAGCCGCCCTACAGCTACATCGCGCTCATCGCCATGGCCATCGCGCACGCGCCCGAGCGCCGCCTGACGCTGGGCGGCATCTACAAGTTCATCACCGAGCGCTTCCCCTTCTACCGCGACAACCCCAAGAAGTGGCAGAACAGCATCCGCCACAACCTTACGCTCAACGACTGCTTCCTCAAGATCCCGCGTGAGGCCGGCCGCCCGGGCAAGGGCAACTACTGGGCGCTCGACCCGAACGCCGAGGACATGTTCGAGAG